AACCCCCTCCCTTTGGGCCCCACTTCCTAAAATTTCACCACCCTCAAAAGCACCACCCCGAGGACCAAGCCTTTACCACATGGGCCAACCATAGAAGATCCCTATGTCCATCATTTCCCTCAGATAAATTCTTTTTTTTTTTTTTTGGTACCAGGGATCGAACTTGGTACCTTGCGCCTGCAAGGCAGGCGGCGGAACCACTGAGCTAAATCCCCGGCCCTCAGATAAATTCTTGATACATCAAACAGCTTCACTGCTTTTTGCTGCTGGGGATTGAACCCACGGCCTTGTGCATGCTAGGCAAAATTACCACTAAGCTAGGCACTATTACCACTAAACTACACCTGCATCTCAAACAGCCTACACTATTAACAAGACATTTTTAAAAAGCTATAAAAATGGACACTTTTTTGATACTATCCTTGATGAAGAAAGCCTTTCTGAATAAAATACAAACTATAAATATGATTAAAATTAAGTTCATTGACAAAAGAAACAACATTTTCTGGTTTAAAAAGTACATAGTAATAGAATAGACAAATAACAGGAAGAAAGTATTTGCAACATATATTAAATATAAGGACTTGCTTTCTTTAGTATGTAAAGAACTTCTACAAATAAATTAGAGCTGGGAGTGGTAGCATGCACATATTATCCCAGCACGTTGGGAGGCTGAGGCAGGAGGATCACACAAGTTTAAGCCCAGCTTGGGTAATTTAGAGACTTAGTGAGACCCTGTCTCAAAAAATAAAGGCCTGGAGATGTAGCTCAGTGCGAAGGCCCTGAGTACAATCCCCAATACTACAAAACAAATAAATAAATAAACAAATACAAATAAATTGGGAAAAGATCAATACCCCAATAGAAAAGTGGCAAAGGATTTCTCAGAAGACAAAATACAGTGGATTTTCAATGTGAAAAAAAAATGCTCAGACTTGTTCACAATCAGAAAAATGCACACTAAATCTACAGCAATAGATGATCAAATATTAAAGACTTGAAATTGTTACCACTTATTTTAATAGTAAACATGTGAAGTACTGGGTGCTCTTGTATGCTTACTTATAAGAATATAAATTGACACAGTCCCTAAAGAGAGTAATTTAGTAATATTTATTAAAATTTTAAAAATATAGATAATCTTTGGCCCAATAATTCCACTTCTCAGAATTTATCCTACAGACATGTGCTTGTAAGAGAACAGGAGTGTGCGCACCATAGTACTCACTGCAGTATCATCTGTAAAAGCAAAAATGTTCAGCTGAGAACTTATTTTAAAAATCAAGATATAACCATGCAATCAAATCCTTGAGAAATAAGATAGCATTTCAGAAGAATAAATGTATTAAAATAGAACATTTTCCCAAACACCATTAGCAAACATGATAAAGAGTGGTATGTGTCATATTTTATCCATTTGAGCATGAAGAAACTGGTGACAAAGGCTGCATCTGTGAAGAAGTGGCCTAGAGTTCAGGGTGGGGACAGGTCTGCTTTGTTTTTTTGGTACCAGGAATCGAACTCAGGACCTTGCACTTTTGAGGCAGGCGGCAGAACCACTGAGCTAAATCCCTGGCCCCAGGTCTGCTTTTTTTCCTGTATACTCATTTGCACTTTATGAACTGTGTGTGTGATGCTCACGTTTATCTACTTACAACTTAATGTTCTCATGGGGATGGACAAGTTTAGTGACAAAGCTGGCCGGACAGGGGAAGCCACTTACCAAAACAGAACAGCATGGGGCATGGCTGCAGGGATCATGAATGTCAAGTTCAACAAGAGAGAGCTAAGTTTAGACTAGACATCAAGGCTAAAGTGACACAGAGGCAAGAAGAATGGATATGAGGTTCAATAAAAGCTTAACTATGGAATAAGCACTTAAAAGACAAGATGGGATAAAGGAAAAGGAGTTTTCACTTACTGAAAGAGACCTTCAGTTGCTGCTAATGAATGTATGCATTTACAAGTTATTAATAATAACAGCGTAAGAAAGGCTTGTTATCTACTGGTTGCAAAGTTGATTGCAAATTGGAGGGGGCATAATCTCTATCCTGCTTCTGTTTAATCACCAATATATGGTGATTATATTGATATTTCTGTAGGGTTTGGGAAGGAATATAAATCCAACTTGGGGCTTATCCTCAGACTAAAAGAGGTACCAGGTAATCATCCAAAACAATAAAGTCTTACTTTCTTCATCTCATGTGGCCAGTGGGATTGCTGCACAATTCAGAAGGCCCCCAGTCAAGCACGTGAATAGAAGTTGTATAGGAACACACACCAGTCTACCTGCCTTGCATTTCAAGTTCAAAGAAGGCAGAGGCAATGATGTGGGTTAATTTACACAGAGCCTGGCAAAGCTGGCTATCTAATTAGATGCTTGGTGAAGACACTTTGTTCTTAATGATGGTGGCGGTGGGGGTAGCAATGGGGAGGGTGGTGACAATAAATGTCAGTGTTGTCCATCCGCTTGACAGAATCCTCCTCTAGCAGTCTCTTGTCCAAAGCAGTGCATGGGAAGGGAAAGGAGCAAGGAGCCAGTTTCCAGTGTGGAGCCCTGAACTCTGAGTCACCAGGCTGACCAGATAATAAGCACAGTCATCAGACTTGCTCTTAGGTCCTTGCTGCTCATGTTTCTCCCAAAGAACAGGGCAGTGCTGTCAGCCAGGGGCCCAGTGCTTCTCTGTACAGCACCAGCAGTGGGGCTTCCCTTGACAAATGAGGAGTCAATCTATTATTTCAAGTTTTCCGAGGATCAAGCTGGGATTCTATTTCCATTCTACTTCCTAATAATAAAAGTAGTCTAAAAATAGTGTAATTTAAACTTTTTCCTGAAAGGGCCTTTGTGGCTCATTACACATAGTTCTCTTGGACATTCCCAATCATTGAAGCCCTTTTGATAAAATTTAAGCAGTACAAAAATATTACATAGCATTAGAAAGGAGCTTAGGTGTAGCCTAGTCCGACTCTGCCATTGTTACCCCATCACCATGTTGCTGAAGATCTGGGGGAGGATCTGTTTAAAAAGCAGTGAGTGTCTTACGGTTTTTCTTGTTTTTCTAAAGGAGAAAATGTTGTTAGCTTTGTATGAAGAAATTATGCTATTGCCTTTCTTTCTTTCCTTTTCACCAGAGATGGAAATAAAGAGTAGAGATGATACTTCCATTTCAATCTCTACAACTTCATATGATATCATACTGTAGGATTTAAATTTCCTTGAAAAGGATAGATTGTGTGAACTTAGTTAAAGTTGGGGGGGAAATTGATTCGATATCCTGTTGTCAAGGAAACCAGTTCACATCCACCTCTGCCCTCCAACTCCTGTTAACACAGTGACCTTTCAACTCTTCATCTGACATCTTAAAATTGTTTTCAAACACCCAGATGTTCTACTCTGGAAGCCTGCATGAGGATGGGAGGGAAGTGATCATACTAGTCAAACTCAGCGAGGACTTGTTCTATATAGCACTCACAGGTAGCAAAAACAGCAAGGAACGTTAACACTGTCTTTCTATCTCTTTTGTCTTATCTAGACTACCGGGATTAGGGCAGTGCCAAACCAATCAGTGTACTGGTTTAGTAATCACACTCCCTTAATCCCAGCATCACACACTCTAGCTTCAGCCATCTATGACCACATGAGGCTGTGGGCCATAACACCAACAGAATATTGGCAGACAAGACACAGCAATGTGCGTCCTCTCCAGTTGGCTTTCTCCCTGAGAGGACCCTGTCCTGATGGGCCCACTCCTCCACAGGGACCAGAAGAGCCGAGCTGCACACCTACCCCCTGCCCGGCAGATGCACCAGGAAGTCCAGGGGTGCCTTCCAGCCAAGTAGAGCTGAGACCAGCCAGCTCCAGCCATCCCTTAGACACACCAGAAACAGTAAGTTGTTATTAATGTTGTTGAATGATACAGCAATGACAAACTAATACGGAGAGCGTGTAATACAACATTTCAATTTATTAATTTTTCAGGACCATCTAAAAAACCAGAGTAGGTAGAAACACTTGGCCAAAACTGTGGATCTCCTGAGTAGGGCCATTTTCAGGAAGAGTACCAGCCAATCCTTTTCAAAAATAAGCACGAAGAGAACAGATGTCTCAAATCCTGTAGACCAAAAGACTTGCAAACCAGTGGACACCATTAGGATGTGCATTAGCCACACAACAAAATCTCAATGCACCTAGAAATGTTATCAGTGACCTGGGGGTCTAGAAAAAGCTTCTAAAACTCACTCAGTGGCTAAGAAGCTGTGTAGAAACAGACTAAAATGACTAGGACTCCAGTGTGGGAGGGAGACCCACGTTGGGAAACTATATGATTCAAGCCTGTTAACTCTTAAATAGAAAAATTGATCTGAAGTTGGGTTTAGTCACTGGATTCTGGGATTTTAGAAACAGGAGTATGTGCTGAAGAATAAAAAGAGAAAATACAGGAAAAAATAAGGGGTTGGGGAGAGACTCTATGACTTTACATGGCTGAGAACAGGGGTGACCACAGGGCCCAGTACATCTGGGACAGTCGTGGTTGACACTGTTGTCCTGGGTAATTATTCAGAGCATCCCTTTCCATTCTCAGAGGTTGCTGGATCGGATGATAAATTCTATGGCCATCTTGTTGGCAGCAGACTTTACCCATATAGGCCTAAGTAAGATTTAGATAAGTTCATGGGAAAGACCTGCCATGGACTGTCAGGCAAATAGGGCTGCTTGCTGTGAGGTGTGACAGGCCAATGGATCTCCTCACAGTTCATCCTTAAGCATAACAGTGAAGCCCAGCAAGGTTTTAAGGCCCGGGAAGTGTCTCTCACAGTGACATGGTGCCTATGGGTGACTCCACAGATCTTGTTTAGAAACCTTGTCTGTCTTGCAGGTAACTTGCTGTAAAACCCCCCAAATATAAATGCAAACAACATCCCTGTTCTGTCATTACTTCTACACCTGCTCAACATGCAGAAATCAAGGCATACAGAGGAAAATGAAGTGTCCTTCTTACCCAGATAGAGGTCCATATAGTCTTCTGAGCTCCAGTTGGCCATCCCAAAAACCCTGAAAAAACACAGTACTACAGTAAGAATAAGATTAAGTAGAATTGCATTTATTCACACTTATTAAGAAACAAAAATCTGAAATGCAAGAACACCATTACACAAATAATAAAAAAGAACTGAAGTTATACAGCTTTCAAGCACTGTGAATACTGGATAAACAAATGGCTTTAAAAATATTGCCAAGTAAAACTCTCATGCAGCTCTGCTTTAATGGACTGAAGAGATCATCAGTACTTAGACTACTTGTGTATAATTGCTGCTAAAATATTTGAAAACTGTTTGCTTTCTCAATTACCATATGCCTTCTGAGAATTTGTTCATACTATTATTATTACTTGGCCAAGTTCCTTTTCATGGTCCCTGTATGGGTAAACTTCTACCAAATCTATCCAAATGATCACAAATTCTGAATTCTCATGCTCCAAGTTAAATTTTGACTAAAACCAACATATTGTAAACATGAGAACCCTAGAGCAATTTTATATAGAAGGAAACATGAGGTACATTTTGTAGTGGAGGTACGTGGGGTGAGACAGGGCAGAGGGTTAGAAAATGCTAGACCACTGTGCTGCAGGAATAGAGCTGTGGAAAGGAAATGGGAGGGGTTGCAGGGACCCATGAGGCCATTCACATGGGGGCTGGATGGTTAGATGTGGTGGGACGGAAGTTACTGAACATATGCACGAGTTGGGATGGGCATATGGGTGCAAAATGCTAAATTTGTGTTGTGTGAATTGAGTAAAAGGGCAGATACATAGGGGTGGAGGGTGGTAGAGCTGAGGGTTAGAATAGATGTCCTGAATAGAAATATGCCTCGTTCTCATTAAATCCATTGAACTTCCAAGTCTAAGTCTGCTGTACATCAAGGAAAGCTTATATGAGTATAAAAATAGTCACTGAAATGACTATACTCTAGAAAGAACTTAGCAGAATTTATACCTACAGGGCAAGAAGCTGGAAGGGAACATATGTAGAAATTATCCAGAGGCACAAGCTCATGGTTCTCCTCAGAATGATAATACCAGATTAATTTACTCAACTGAATACAACTGATCCTCCCCACCCCACCCCTGGCAGTAATGTATGAAGTTTATTTCTTTAACTTTCCTATCTGGTTTGTTATTCTATTTTGACACTTTAAAATTTCTTCACACTCACTTCCAGGATCCACAGGAAGTCACAATGAGGTAGTTGTCTGTGGGCTCTGGGTTTCAAAATTGTGAACTGGTCACCCCCGAGAGAGATGGAAGAGGGTGTTTGAAAAGTACTGAAAAGGGGAAAAGAGCAGATAGTGAAGAAGGCCTGTGGACAGAGAGACAGAACAGAAAAGAAACTGCGAAGAGATAGGAACAGGGAAGAAATAGCTGAGGTTATTTCTGTCTAGTGCCAAGGACTGGCCTTCCTGAGGGTAGAGATGGGGGAAGCCCTGAGGAGCTGTTAAGGGGTTTATCGAAGTGAGCCCAAATTTAGTCCTTCCTGCCTTTCTGTGGCTCTTCACATGTGGGATCTGGTGGCTCCTGATGTTGGTCTGCTGGCATTGTCCCCATGGGTTAGCAGCATCTCAGGCTTCTGAGAAAACCCAATGTGAAAATAAAATAAAATGAAATAAAATAAAATAATCTTCAAAGACCTGGGGCTCTATTTACAGATGGCTACTGGCCACTTCCACTTGTACATCGCTCTGGCAAACCAAAGACAACATGGCTAAAATCAAACATGTTTCTCCATCAACCAGATACCTCTCCTAACCTTTTATTTTTGTCACCCCTTGATCATTCTTCCTGTTGCCCAATGTTTGATTCATTTCTCCATGAATTCTCACACTTTATTTGTCACCAGAATTCTTAGTTTTGTCCCAAGTATTCTTTGCTTCTGGCTTCAGGTTAGACTTCAGCACAGTTAGATTCCATGGTCCCTTGCAATCTTCCATTTTGATGCCCCTCTTCTACTAAAAAATGATGTTACAGCAATAAGTATAGGAATAACCCTTCTAGCCTGTGAGTAAGCTGGCCTGTCTCTCTCCATCATCCCATATTCCCCAGGGCTCCCTAACTTCTGGCTTCTCACTGGTCCGGGCTTCTGGTCAACCTGTGTCATTTTTCTTACGTTGCTGCATTCACACATGTTGCTCCCCATTTGGTCTGTGTGCCTTGCCTGCAGCTCCTGAGAGACCCTTCTTCAGGAGCTTCCTTAGGGTGATTTATGCAATAGATTTCTCTCTCTTCTGAAGCAAGACCCCGAAGCAAGACCCCTACAGGCATCTATACTAGCTAATTTAGCACTGGGAATATCCTATCTGGTGTTGCACACCTTTGTTTGATGGTATTTGAGAGTATAAATTACCTCTATTCCTTCTGCATTCTAGGGCCTGGAGCACTTGATGCTCAGCCATGAATGAATGAATGACAGGACTCAGTACATATTGGTGAAGGATAGGGATAACCGTTGTTATCATAGACAAGCTCATTCCAGGAGGGGAGGGCTCGACACATCACACAGTGCATTCACACACAGACTCCTCAGGCCAGCAACCTGGGCAACAGCAATGCTTCTTGGGAAGCCTGCACTGCACCCAGTAAATCAGTGCCTCACCTGGCGGAAGAAGGTCAAGTTCCCAATGAAAGGGGATGGCTTGGGGTATCTGATGCCCAGCTTTTCCAGTGTTGAGAATGCTGATGTAGAGTACCTAGAGAAAGAGGCACATTTTCAAAACCAAGAGATTGAAGTTTGCATTCATGCTTTTGGCCCTATGCCCTGAGTTCTCTGAAAATAAGGACAGAAAAGCCAGTTTCCAGGACCCAGGGGGCGGAGGCCCAGCAATGAATGAACAGAATAGAAGCTGAGAAATTGAACGCATGATGAACTGTAGATGGAGGGATCTGAAAACCTCAGAGGTGGGTGGTGCCTTGGAGTGGGGTGGTCCACTGCCTCCCACCTGAGTCCCACCAACGAACGCACTTCACCCTAATTCGGTTCTTTTGCCTCTAAATCTATCATGAGCAATTGCTCAGTTGGTAAGGCAAAAAAAAAAAAAAAAAACTCACTGTGGCATAAAATAAGCTCCCTGTGCATGTTTATTTCCTTGGTCAAGACTGGACCCCTTGTCATACATCACATTCCATGACCGAAGAGAGAAAAATGAAAAATAGGAACAGAGGCAAACCATAGAGAGGAGACCCTAACATCAACACTTATAACCTCTTTTAGTCTTTGTTTTCCCAATCTGCAACCATCTGGGAAACATATTTTTTTAACCAAAAATCAGGAAGCATGGTCGGACAGATTTCCGTACCACTTTCCAGGTGAAAGCGGCAGTCTGAGGAGTGCAGTATGGCTGTCAAAACATTGGAATTACTAGGCTATTGCAGCAGTTTATGGGAATGGAGGGACAGCACAGTTAAAGTCAGATCCCGCTAAGGAAAACCTGAGCATATGGCTTGGATCCTGAACCAGCCAGCCAATTAGGTCAAAAGTTCAGTTCCAAAAAGTTAATGAATCAAACTGGGTGTTTAGCATCCTGCAGAGATTATCCAAATCACCATTTAGGGTCAAGGAAAAACAACAGACAATAGCACTACATTCTGGCTTCCCAGGAGTGCCAGAATTCAAAACAAAAATAACAAAACAATGCTGTAAGCATCACTCACTTAATAGAAAGATGGGATATTTACTGTATTCTTAGAACTTTCCCTTTCTCATCTGCATTCCAATAAGGAGCACTTAAAATGAGAACATTTCAATAAGTGGTCAGATATCAGAGAAAAGACAACCCAACTTAAATGTATGCTTGCATTACTCTGAGCAATGGGTTTATTTTGAAACTGGCCACAGAGGAGCACCAAACAGGACAGAATGGGAAGGCAGGTGGTCCTCCCAGCTTGTCTAAGATTGCCACCATCTGGGGGCATTATTAGATTTGAATGAATTCCCAAGATATCACATTTAAGTACACGTTCAAGAGTAATCACAAACCATGCTCCAGAGCCACGTGCACATTGCATAGATTAGTCATGCCAACATTCCTCTTCATTAATGTGTATACCAGAGGTTGACAGCACAGTTGGTAAAAGTTATTCTTTCAAGGAGATGATAATATTTTAAATGACTCCCTTATACCGAAGGGGAAAGATCAAAGGGAACTTAGCAGCTCACTTAACACTTCCTCTAACAGTCTCATATCGGGAGTCTACATTCATTTTTTCATTAATTTCTGTGAATTCTTTTCTAAATGTAATCTCTAATGGGTAGAAAGAAATATGAATATCTTGGGCCACGTAATTACATCTTAATTTTGTAATTAGATGTCTTGATTGTCTAATTAAAGGACAAGAAGTCTGTGCCTAATTACACATGCTAATTATTATGCAAGCCCATGCCCTAATTATGTAACTCCACTTATGAGAACATTGCCCGTGTGTGACTGCACAAAATCCAGACATTTGCTAACATATGGCATCACCAGAGAGTGTCCTGAACATGACCACAAGCTTCACTTTGTAACCCTGTACCCAAGTAGAGAAGGTACGTGCCTTCAACTGGGGACTGGCCAGATATTGCCACCAGTCACCAAGGTTCCTGCACCCAAATGGGCAGGGGAGTCATTGCCACCGGATTTATGGGCAAAATTGCAAAGTGGTTCTATTTGCCTCACTCGCACTTCTCTCTCTGCAGCCACATTTCATTCTCTCTGGTCTTCACATATGGATAAATGGGTACATTCAAAAAGATAAGTTGAAGTCCTAACCTCCAGGACCTCAGAATGTGACCTGATTTGGAAACAGGGTTGTTGCCAATGTAATGAGTCAAAATGAAGACATACTGAAGCAGAGTGGCTCCCTAATCCAAATGTCCTAGTAAGAGGGTGGCTGGATGAGGACAGAGACACAAGTGACTCTGAAGGCAGAGACAGGGTGACACAGCTTGGAGGAGAGGCATGTCAGTGATCATCAGCAAGCCCCCCATGGCTTGGAAGAGACAGCAAAGGATTCTCCCCTACAGAGCTCCGAGGGAGCATGGCGGTGCTGATGTCTTGATTTCCTATTTCAGTTCTAGAACTGCGAGATGATAAGTTCCTGGTGTTTTAAGCCGCTCAGTTTGTGATACTTTCCAGGGAAGTCCTAGGAAAGAGTCATTTATACCAAGAATGCCCGGGAAGGAGTTTCAGAGCCAATGGAAAGATTTTTTTAAAAATTTCCTCCTGTTACTTTAAAATTTTGTAAAAGAAATTTCTCTTTTGTGTCAGATTGTGTCATTTGAGTTCTGCACCATCCAAAAAAGTCCAGGTGGCCTGTGATGCTGCTGTGGAAAGCAGGTAATATGCAGTCATCCCACGATCACCATGGGATGTGTAGAACAGCTTTCTTCTGACAGGAATTAATGCAAATGTATCCCACAATTATGATTATGGACATCTGTCATTGTTTATATTAAGGATACTTAAGTTGGAAAATGACAACATCAAGTATGTAGAGTTTCAGATAGTGTTCTTTCATTTTATTTTCACAACCAAAGCAGTCATTAAATGCTACAGGAGAAAAATCCTGCAGCGCTGGTAGTAAGACTTATACTACCCTTTCCTAAAATAAACGGAACCATATGGATCATTTTCAAAATAAGGTTCAAAGTATAAAGGCTGAAAGTTCCCCCGATGTTTCATTTTCCTTAAGCCTAATGCCCTCTCTTGACGGACTCAACAGAAGGAAGTGACCCTATTTTAGCCAAAGAAGCCACTTATGACAAATGGGGGGGGGGGCGGTGTACGTCGCTGAATCATGTACTACTGTTGAATGGACTGAGGTTTGAAGTGAAAGAAGAAACCAGTCAAACACCTTGCCAGCCATTCTGTGAAAGTTGTAGTCACATCAACAGCATTACCAGAAACAGCCTCTTAAACTGTTGTTTTGAAAAATGTGTTAAAAAATAGGAGTGGGGTATGAGGTTTGCTGGCCTTGAAGAAGACACATCTTGAAGTACTTGACAGAAATGTGGGCAGAATGGTCAGATCTATCAGGGAGGAAAACCTACTCTCATTTTACTCTAATTTTGTCTAGTTTCTTCTATCTGTATATTTTTATATGTTTAAATAATAATCTATATTTCTATTTTTATTCCTTCATATTTCTACTCCTTTCCATTTCACCTAACCAAAAACCTCTGTTATTAATCCTTTGTGAATATTATTTCATGGTTGTGTAATAGTCCTCTTGTGTACTTATTATTTATTAAATTATTCCTATTGTTAAATATTTAGGTTTTTTCCACTTTTAGTTACATTAAGTCATGCTGATACAATGGACATTTCTGTGTCCCAGAGTTTTCCTGCACCTTGTGTATGAAGACTTTCCCGATCTGAAATCCACCAATCTCTGGTTTTCAGCATTGCTACACAATGCCAAAAGCTTCCCAGAATGTTTGCTGCCCTCAGTCCCCGGGTCCCATCCCCACTTCACCAAAACTGCCATACATTTTTTCCCAATTGGACACATCAATGTATCTTGATATCTGCATTTCTTTCACTAAGTGAGAGAATATTTTTGCCATTCTTTCTCCATTTCCAAAAATACTTTCCAACTTTGAAATCATTTCCCTCCCTCCTTTCCTTCCTTCCTCCCTTTCCCCACCCGCTTTTTTCTTTTCTTTCTCCCTCGAATTCCCACCATGATTTATCTAGGTGGCAGGCAGAAATGTCCTAACCAACTTGTTAAAGAACTAGTTGGAAGATGCACAGTCGCTGACCAATGACTGAAAGCTGACTCGGCACACTTGTTGGGGCACAGAGAATTTTGAACAGCTCCATTCATTTTGAAAATAACTCAGGGCAACCTTACTGGTTGACTTGACATTCCCTCGCCTTCTCTTTCCTTGCCCCATTCCTCCCCTACCCCCAACAAGAGAAACTGTAAAAGGATAAAAATGGATTAAATCCTGCCTCTAGGCAGATATTTCCAGGAAAAGAATTGTGAAATGCAGTTTAGATGAGAGGCTTTCTTGTTTCCCTTTCTTTTCTTTTTTTTTTCTTCTCTCTCTCTCTTTCAGGCTGGCCTTGAACTCACTCTGTAGCCCAGGGTGGCTTTGAACTTGCAGCAATCCTCCTGCCTCAGCCTCTCTAGTACTGTGATTATAGTTGTATGCCTGGCAATGATAACATTCTCCTGTTGTCGTTGTTTGGTACCGGGATCAACTCAGGATCTTCTGCTTTCGAGACAGGAGCGGTGCCACTGAGCTAAATCCCCAGCTCAGTAATGCTATTCTTGATACATTAGCCACATGAGTGCTGGTTCAAAAGCTTAAATAGCTTTTGAAACTCATTCATAGAGTCCTTTGTGATTGGTTGTTTTAAATGGATAGTGGGGGTTGTATAAAAGATCATTATGGTCAATCCTATCAGAAATTGAAGGAATTTTTTTAAAGTAAACTAACGCTTCCCAACTGTATTAGTTTCTCATTGCTGCTGTAACAACTAACTATGTATTGGTTTAAAACACAGGCTTACTCTCTACAGTTCTAGAGCCCACAATTCCAGGTCAGCCTCACTGGGCCAAAGTGAGGGGTC